TTTGCGCCATTATTTAGAAAGTTAATTGAGTATTTGCGGATCCGCAGCGCTGGATCCAGCAGGCCGAAGAATACGCTGGATCCAGCTGGATTGCTGGATGAGGGATCCAGCAATTGCAATCCCTATCTGCATTGCAGTTTTAACATAAACAAAAGATGTCCGACTACAAACATTTTTCCTAACCTTTCTAAAACAATCAAATTTTTCTCTAAATTGACTGATTTTCATGAATTTTGTGACAGTTCAGACCTGTCCAGAACCTCACATAATTATCTTTTTTCAAATAGTTGCACTTTTCTGATTACCAAATTCTATAATAAATTGAAATAATTTATTAAATATTATTATTTATTGTCTTGAAAAATGAATTGAAACCATGCAGTTTTAGTGTGGTTATCATCAGTGGTGATATTCAGCGGGTTCACACAGGTTCGGCCGAACCCATTGTTAACATTTTCAAAGTTTTCCGAATCCGTTGTTAAACACACGTAGCATTTCTCAGTGGTTTTGTTTCTTTTAAAAAATATATTAAAATATACGTATTATACTCTGTAACACTACTAAACTAGAGCCTTATATCCCGTTCGCCTTGGTGCAACCTCCATTGACCGTTTCAATCTCGATCGACTCAAGAGAGTTCTTGAAACTAGGTCCAGTCATACGAGAGATCCCACAATCCCACGCGCGCGAGAAAATATATGATGGCTGCGGAACACGTGTCAGGCTATTGACAGCGAAATAAAAAAGATATTGTATTTCGAGGGACGACGACATCTGTCTATTATTATAATAATACCTAATGATAAAATAATGATTTAGAAAAGTTTTTTCTTGAGAAAAAGTCACGGGGAAAGCAGTTAAACCTGCTTTCCCTATGACTTTTTCTGATTAAAAAAAAGCCAATTTTTATGTTTATAAAATACGAGGTATTTTGAATGAAAAATATTAAAATATGTACAAAATAAACCATTTTGAACACTTTTATATTATTTATAAAAAAAATATATACTTCTGGCATAAACAATGTTAAATTTTAACTGACTTAATTTTGCGAACGCATCTTTTTTATTTATATGGGTATGTTAAGGTCAGTTTTTGCGCTAATGTTGCTAATGTACCATTTGAACAAAAAAGAATTAAGGAAAAATTTTCTGTTAGCGAACCCTTTGTTAAATATTTCGAATATCACCACTGGTTATCATTTAAGATTTATTAAACTTATTGACAAATTTTTGGTCAGGTTAGTTCAAGTTGCAAGGTCAGGGAAAGAACACAAAATTTCAAAAATCCTTGAAAGTAGAAATGATCTTATGGTAAATGTCTTTTATTTTGGTACCTTTAAGTTAGTTGAATTGAGATCATATGTATTTTCTTTCATACATGTGCATAGAACTACTAAATATGTCTGGAGTAAAGTTGCTAGATTGTACAATTCTCAAATGGACAACTCAAACAAATAAACTGCATTTAATTAACATACATGCAGTATGTATTAGCTTTTTTGAGTAACAGTATCTGCCTTCTCAACCTTGTGAAATTGACAAATCTGGAATGGGTTAGGAGAAAACTTTTAAAATTTATTAACAGTAAAAGTTATTCAGGAAATTTTATTAAGACAAAAGTAAAGTAAAAAATTTATCAAAAACAAAATTTATTTTTAATTTTAAGTTACAATTCTTTTTTAAATCAAAATAAAACCTTCAGTCAAATCCATACAAAATCAATAGCTCCTAGGTAATACAAACAATCCTTAAATTAAAACTTAAATTTAAGAACTAGACAGCACCAAATAGGAAAAATTTAATTATGATCAATTTATACTTTTACTGCCCTACACATGCCTGTTTAGAGTGCTTTATGGAGCCAGTTCTTGTTATTCAAGTAATACATATATTTAAAAGATTGATTAAAATATCAAATATTATTAACCTTAAATAATGATTGATCTATCTATTTATATCCTTGGTGCTCAGGCCACATATGTCCTTTACAGCCTTGACAATAATTTTCCATTTCTCTTCAATTACCATCTTCTTCATAGGATTATTTGAAGTCAGTGGCAATCTCATTGTTCCACCTCAAAGAGGGTTTACTAGACTTTCTTTTTCCATTTCTAGTTGCAATTAGAAGTTTGTGGATATGCGTAGTGGGTTCAGACCATATAGCATGTCCTGATTATCTTTACCTTTTTTTTATATTTTTAATGACCTTGCCATTACAAATAAATATTGATATAAACAAAAATTTTATAATTTATAAAGAGCTTCAAAAATTTTCTTATGATAAAATGTATTAAAACCTAATCATTATTTCTGTTTGTAAAGTTCAGTAATATAAATTTATTAAAACTTTAAAAAAAGCTGTATAATGCATGTTTAATCTTTTTCATTATCACAGTTATTAGCACAAAATTTGAAATGTTAAAAAAATATATATTTTTTATTAATGTTGTTACTGTTGTCATTTTAAACTTCAATTTTGTAAGTATTACTTTTTGTGAATTTTTCTCTATTTAGTATTTAATAGTAATTTTTATATTTTATTCATTTGTATGTTTTTTTAAGTAATGCATATTAAAAGAATATAATAATCAGTTTCATTAGTTATTATTTTCATTCTTTACAAAACATTGCTAATGCAACAGAACTTAAAAATTATTCAAGATAACTTAAAGTTCTTTTAAATAATAATCTAATCATTATATATAACAATTTAAGTGCTGCTGGAAGCTTCGGTGTATTTTTTTATAACATTATTTTAAATTTAAGTTTTTATTATTGAAATGATTATATAACTCTGGACATACTATTGCAAATAACTGACATTATACATATAATGACAGTTATGATTAGCAATATGTTTAATTTCCATCAAATAACCAACTTTTAGATAATCTCAAACTCTGTTATAGTAAAGAAATTGTCAATCAATAATGTTGCCACATATCTAATAAAAAGTATCAAATATAATTTTTTTTTACTTTCATTAAATCAAATTTGTAACAGTATGTTCATTTATCTTAAAACAAAAAAAGTTAACTGGGAACAGTATGTATAACATTATATGTTTGTTATAGTTCTTGCAGTACCATCCCAGAATGCTTCACTTTTTAACCACCTTAATGATTGTAATATGTTGTGCATTCTAGAATAACTTTCAATAACATAATTATAATTCATAACAACAATTGTCAACAAATAGTATGTTCTGAGCACTGTCATTTTTCTAAAAAAATTATTGACACTACTACATACTGGCTATCAATACAAAATTAAATCTGATTTGTTTTTGGGAGATGGTATTGCTCTTCACATCAAAGAATGTATCCAGTATGCATAATAAATAAAAAAAATTAATTAATTAAATCAAAATATTACTACAATCATCATAGATCAAATATCCTTTTTTTTTTTTTTTTAGAGTTAAAATCAACATACAATTTTAGGCATTTAATTTCTAAGTATTTTCCAATTATGAACATTCATCTTTAAGTGATATTGGATGTGCATGGTCTGAAAGTACTTGGGAATTAAATTGCTAAAATTCTGTGTTATTCTGACTCCAAAAAAAAGCAGATTTGATGTAAATACAACCTTATGTTCCAGTAGTGTTTATGCCCTATAATATTTATAAGCTTAATATATTATTATTATATTTAAATTGTTCTTAAGATAGTAATCGTAAGAACATTTTATGCTAATATTTTGGTTTTACTATTTCATATATTATTTTTAAAATAAAAAATAGCATTTTTATTTTAATTGTTGTTAACATGTTAAAATATGCATTACTTTTTAAATATAATAAAATTAATTATAATTTAGAAAAAATATGTTTTATAATTAATTAACTGTATTATGTGTCAAAATTCTGAAAATAATCATTTTTATTTAGATCTTGTTGCCAAGGTAATTAAATTTGTGATTTCAATATAGAAATGGTGATACTAAATTTATCATTATAAAACTATCATTTTAAAAAAAATTATAAATGAATATTATAAAATCACAAACTTAATTGAAGATCTTTTAAAAATAGGAAGTAATTTTAAGTCATTAGAATGTTAAAAATTTGTTTTAATAGTAGCTATCATATTCTAATATTTCAGAAATGTGAATATGTTTGATAAATTGAAGATGACGTAAATTAAACAGTAAATTGAAGATGACGACTTACATTTTTTGTTGTATTTATTAAATCAGAATTTCAAAATTTACTAAAAATATTATAAAAGATAATTATTGTATAATGGATTCAAATCATTCATATTTGGAAAATTATCCTGTTACTATGTAAGTTGAGCTCACTCAACTTTACAGCATGTCAGAGTAATTGAAGCATTGAATTAAAGTTAATTTTAGATGATTTGTGGTAACGTAAAGCATAATCACACTATTTCTGAAATATTTCCAATAACAACTTTTATATATTTGCTTAATTATGAAGAAGTTACAAAATAAAAGTTAGTATTTTACATCATTGAAAAGTTTTACATCATACATTTAATGTACCTTGCATTTTACTATGATAGAATATTTATCATAGCAATAAAAAAAATATTTGATTTAAAGTTTTGATTTATATAACATAATTTAATCACATTTCTTTTATGTAATTTTTGAGCATTATAATTAATACTTGCCTAAAGTACTTTAATATCAAATTTTCAATTAATAAATTTGATAACTTTATAATTGTAGAATAAAGTCTGTTGTAATAATGCTTCTCCTGATTTTTTAATTTTTTAAACTGTTATTAGATTAAACTTTACTAAATTATAATTTTGCATGATTAGGAGCATAAAATTGACTACAGTTACTTTTATTATAGTGTTTCCTTTATGCTTATAACAGTAATAACTTCATAAATTAATATTTTTGTATATAGAATGTACTAATTATCATCCACATAATTTCATAAATATTTTAAATTAATAGTTTGTTATTTCAGAATTTTGACAGATAATGTTATTAGTATGTTAACTCGTAATACATAAACAAAATATCTTAATACTCTCTCTCCTAACAAAGGCAACAGTGTAGGTGAAGAAAGAATAAGTGACAAAGATGAAGAAGAAATGTTTCTGTCAATGGCAGCCATTATTACTATTGTTGTGGTGCTTGTAGTAATTATCCTTATGGCTATTGATGTTACTTGCTTTCTACGTTATCAGTGGGGATTGTTATATTTCTTTCGAAGTAGCTTATGTGGAAAATCTGCAGCAGGTGATAAAGCAAAAGAAGCTGCGGCGGAAGATGGTAAAGGAAGGTAAGAAATTGAATTATTATAATTTCATAAATAATTATATAGTTATGAAAATTTTCATTTCAAAATAGAACACGCAAAATTTTATTACTGTTTTTACAAATCATCTTTTATTGTTGAATGCCTCTTTTGCACATGTTGTATTCATAATAAAAATGATTTGTCTTCTTACTTTTAACAACAGGTTATTAGTATTGACCCACAAAGACTTCATGGCGATGCAAAATTTTAAAACGGTATCACTATTACTTGATGGTTATTGAATCTTAATGCTAGTGAGAGTTGCAATTTATGTATGTCATTAAAATAATTCAGTTCTATTTGGCAATGAAAAAAATACAGTTATTGAAAGACTTCAAAGATATTTGTATGTTATTAAAATATGAAACACAATCTTGATCTGCATATATATTAATGTCATTACTTGTAAAACAACTTAGAGTGCTTTTCTCTTAGCTCCATGCAGAAAATATCAAATTAAAAGATTAAATATAAATTTTACTTGTTATAATTTTAAAAAATGCTGCATAGAATAATTAAAATGTTAAAGTATTAGAATATTATTTGTATCTATCAAACTGAAAACATTAATAAAAATACAATATGTGCATTCAATGTACTATATAATCCATCTTCTAGGTGTTGAATTAACTTCTTTCATTATCTTTTCTTTCAATTTAACATCTAGAAAATGGATATAAGAGGACATTATTATTTGTACCCCAATATTAATATGTGGTATGTTTATAATATGTGCTAGTATGATAATTAAAAGGTAGCTTTTCTGTTTTTAAGCAAAAATGTAAAATTTATATGAACTTTAAATGTTTTCAATATTTAAATTAAAGGTTATTGTATGTGTTTATCAAATTGTAATTTGATAATATAATCAATATTTTTTGTTTTACATTTTTATTAAAAATTACATATCTATATCAACAAATAATTGAATTTTATTTTCAGATCCTGGTGAAAATATATTGTTACTTAATTTTATAAATTATAAATATGAAGTTTATTTTATTTATGTAGATATTTCCTTTGTATTTCTCAATGAAAAAAATTGTAATTTTAGATTATAAATTATATCATAATTATACAACTGAAAAGGATTTGTACTTTAAAAATAATTTATGGTTATAAATGTAATAAATGGTAAATTTTCATTCGTTATTCAATTTGCACTGTGTCGGTAGGGAATTTCTTCTTTTTTTGTTTACTTTATTACAGTGGCAAGGAGATTCTAGCTAATAATGGAGAGGTTAAAGTGGATCCTAAAAGTACAGCTCCTATGGAGTAAGATTTTTCAAGCCTCACAATTTCTGCTTTTTTTACAGGCATAAAATATTTTAGGTCCTAATAAAGTGCTTCTGTATGGATGTGCATGACAAGCAACTGCATGTCCTTTCAAAGGCTTTTTACATCATGAATTCTAAGCCAAAAGAGGACATAACTAATTTGTAAATTTTTTCACCATGCATGTAGGTGAAGAACAGCTTCATTGAATAATGGATCATAATTGTTTAGCGCGTTTCATATAATCTAGTTGAGAATTTTCACTGTTGCTTTTTACTTATGTTGTGTGATGTCAGAGTTTGAACACTAAATAGTGCAAATTTTATGGATTATCTACAGATTATTAAAAATTTATAATGTAATTTTAACAAGAAGAATTCTACTTTATAAAGTATTATGAATCATAAGGACTTCATAGGATGTCTTGAAATGTATTATACAAAACCAATATTAAGCAAGTTCATCCTGTGTAAATTGTTATGAAAAAGCATATGAAACGCGCTAACTATATGTATAACAATTAACGAGATGCATTTCTATACTTTGTCTGTCCTTAACTTATTGCTTTTTATGTAATTGTTCAGTCATTGCTTCACGTTGCTTAACATTTTAAAGTCTATATTTGTGTTTGTATTTGTATTGTTTAACTGTGATTTTATGTTTAATAAAAATGTATATAAATATACATAATATATATATTTATATATATATGTGTATATTATTAAAAATTGTTGTCAAAATTTTAAATTTTACTTTATATATTTTTAAAAATAAATAAACAAATAAAATTATATCAAACATCTTAATTATTATATTAATGATGGAAGGAATATTAGTTTAGATCAAACACAAAAAATTATCTGAACTTTTTTGATAAATATTAGATTATATTAAATCTAGTTTTTATAAATAATTAAAGCTACCATTTATGAGAATATTTAATTCAGAAATAAGAAAATACATATCAAAGTATAATATAAATGATAATTATCATTTGAAAAAGACAAAGAATAAAGTTGAATTGCATCTGTATACCATTAACAAATTTTAAAAATTAATAATAATTTACAGAAAATAAAACTTCTATACAATACTTTAAATTTTAATAACAATATTGCCGGCTTGTTATTTGAATATGTGTAACTAGATCAGGTCTTAATACAGAATTACTCTTTGTAGAAAGTAACCTAAGTATTTTTTAAGTTTAAGTACAAAATTGTAATTACATTTCTATAATTATTGTTGATACAGTATTAAAATTCAAAGTAAAAATTGGGTAGATATAAAATACTTAAATTTAAACAGACAATCATCACATTTCCTATGTTAGAAAATAAACAGGGAAATGTTCTATGAAATTTGTATGCTAATTTTTATTAATTTAATGAAACTTGAAAAAAAAAAAACTGCTTCATTTGTTTTACAAATTTTAATATCAGTTTAAAAGTAAATATGTAAAACTTTTTTTAGAAATGTTTAAACTACTAAACTGAATGAAGTGATAGATATAAACTATGCAACTGTTATTTGGAATAATGCAAATTATACTATTTCTTTATAAACATAAAATTGTTATAATTTTTAATTTCAGTAGCTTCTACTACTTATATTAGTAGATTATTTCATGATCTTATTGCTCTGTAATATCTGTTCTACTTTTATTTTTAAAACATCTGAGATCAGAGAGATTATATTCAAAGTTTTATAATGTAAAAGTCATTTAATTGTTGGATAAAGCAATCAGAGAAATTATAAAAGAAAGCCATTGAAAATTGACAAAAAGAACAAAATTATAATCATTTACACTAAATTATAAATTCTTAAATATGAAAAAAATTATGATTTGGATTATAAAAATTAACTTATTTGTATATATAACATATTTAGCTTTCCCCCCATACTCAAATGTACTAACATTGCAAGCATATTATTGTTTAGTGTAGCTCTAAACTCATCTTATTGTTACATTGTTGTTTAATGTTTAAGATATTTCAGTTATGTCTACACCTGAAAACTAGTAAGTAGATGAGAAAGCTATTGAAAGTTAACAATTATTGAATAATTGTTGTTGGTTTCTGGATACTATAGAATTTTAAGTTCCTCAAAAAGCAAACTTTGACAAGTTTAGAACCATGAACCAAATTGATCAAGAAAACAACTTTTCCGATTTTTTGAATCACAAATATTTTACTTTGCAAGAAAGGATCGTCATTTAAGATTATTTCTAGACATACATTATAGCATATTACAGAAGATTCATTTTATTTGTAATTAAGAAAACCTCTTGTTTAACTGTAATTATATTCATGTTATGTTCATACTATTTGTAAAGTAAGTTTCAATGGAACTAATCCTATGTTAAGTTTTTATAGACAATCATTAAGCTATACATTTGCCATTTTCATAAGTAATGCTTAGTCTTAAAAATTGATACACTGATCCATTTTTTGACCATTTTAGTAATGAGATTGTTTTTAAGATTATAATATAGGATTATACATGTATTATATCTGTCAATTGCAGTGAATTATTTGGATGATATATAATACCTTTTAATTTTTCTAAAACTAATTACACATCTGAGAAAAACAGTAAAATTGTTATCAATTTTACTTTTCTTACAGATTAAAGATTTTAGCACTGTTCTCTGTAGCTTTTTTCTAAATCTTTCTTTTCTCATTTGAGTTTATATTAACATTATCCATGCAAATAATGGTAATACATTCAATTTACAAATATACCAGTACTATTAATTCATATCAATGGTGGAGCAATCATTTCATGTTTGATTTATAGTATAAAAGAATTAAAATATAAAACTATATTATTTAAAATTATCAAAATGAATGAAATCTGGCTAAATGTATGTAAAATAATGCTGTAGTAACCTTTTTCTAACCTAAAATATAACAAATATTGCAATTGTAAATCATACACCAACAGAAATAGTCTTTATCACAACAGTCATGACTATATATTGTGCTTATTTTTTTCTTTCTATTATGTCAATAATTAAAAATATAAGTTTATTAAATGTATCTACTGATTTAAATAGCTTCCTTGACCATTATATATCTATGTAAACTTATAATAGTATTTATAATAATTAAAAATAAAATTAATAATCAATTGTCTTTGACTCTCTTTATTCTTACCTCTTCTTTTTAATTATATAATTATTAACTCTTTATTGTAAATAAAAATTTATTTAACTAAAACTAAATGCTTAACTTTAAATATAAAAATCATTTTATATTTATTAACTAATTAAAAATTAAATCTTAAGTACTTAAATGATCATTCTATTATAAATATTTCATAAATATTATCTTTAAATAAAACAAAATCTTAATTTTTAATAATGCATTTTTTACAGTTATTAACTTCTAAACATTATTAATGACATTTTATTGAAATGTTTTGTTTATTTAAATCATCTTACATAAGATTTCCATGAAATTTCCAATAAATTATTTTAATATTAACATGGCAGTGAATTTATTATTATAATATAAAATTAATAACAACGTCTACTTTAATAATTATTATGCTTGTTGTCCAAAAAACAATTATTATCCTTCTCCAGTTCTTTTCAATTTAAATACAATTAATATGCTTTCAAAAAATATTGCTTTTCCAATGCTTCAAACAGCACTGAGAACAATTGCATGTGGGAAGATGTGAGCATCAAATCCAGTGTTGATTCAGATTAGCCTAACTTGGAAAGTGAAGAGGTTTTTGGCTTTGATGTGGAAGACAGTGATATATGGAAGAATCTCATCTTAACAGATCACTCAGCACACCAAAAATTATCCATTATTCCAAGAATCCATTACATTGCAAACAACAGATTTCCCGCACATCCAGGATAATATCTGTTACAATGGGTGATCAGTTAACGAACAAATTGGATAACAATAACTTTCGCAAAAGATTTTTATGTTCGGACAATGAACACCTCACAGAACAAACACAAGAAGAAGCAACGTAAAATAACTGGTCTTTCCTTGTCTTCAGGTAACAATTCAAAACTTTCAGAGCACAGGATATGTCGACATCATCACTCAACCCAGTATATACTGATCGGATAGTATTCCTCTGAATTTTGAAACTCTCCCTTGTAATTACGGCCTTTTATTTTTCTTGCAGAAAAAATTCTTTTATAGTATTCGCGAGACTGTCAGGCGGGCACTCGTTAAGTTTTTTGTCAGTTTTTATTTTCAAAAGGTGAGAGTATAATAGCAAAGGTAGAGACTGAGCAGAAGATATCTGATGTTGCTGGGCAGTATGGCTTGAACAGGTCTACAGTAGGCCACAGTTGTCTTATCTAAGAAAGATACTGTATAATCAAGAAGACTCAAGCAGCTAAAGGAGTAACAAAAATCACATATGAGAAATAAAGAACATCAAAGAGCTCATAATGGAACCTGAAACAGACTGATGACAGAAGAACACCAAGAAACTCGGCAAGATATGTTTTCTTCTGAAAAAGAGGATTAATGCCAACATCTGCTATTAAAGATCTTTTAAAAAAGTGAGAGGATGTCAGAACAATGGTCTTAGAATGACATCCAAACCAGGTTGAGATTAATAGGCTCGGGGATCTCTACAATTACAATGCTATTAATTATTTCTGAAAAATTATGAAGAAGAAAGAAAAGCAATCGACATTAGACAGATTCTTTAACCCCACAAACGGAAAAAACATGACTAATAAAAGTGCAAGGCTGTGTATATATGTATTTTTATTATTACATATAAATAAATGTAGTAAGAAAGTATATATTTTTTATTTTTTGGAATCTCCAGAATGAATTAATCAAATTCCCATAAAAACCTATGGTAAATCGATAATCGGTTAACGAACAATTCGGATAACGAACAAAATCTTGGAATGGATTAGGTTCATTAACCAATCACCCACTGTATTCGGAAAAATTTCTGTTTTTTAACTCCTATATATATAAGAAATACCAATACTTGAAATTATTTGGTCTGTTGAGATCTCTATTCTTTATCCTATAGATACACACGTTTGTAATGTATGTGTGTATTATGCCATATGTGTGTACGACAAAGCTGATGAAAATTGTATGTACTGTAAGCATAAAAAGAGGCAAATTATATATGCTCATTAGCACTTTGCTTCACTTCACAATTTGTTAAAAAAAAAAAAAAAAACCCGGTCCATCTTGATTTCTTTCAATGCCACTTTTCTGTCTATTGAAATATAACACCACTTGATATTAGCAATGTCATGTACAGCCTGTTGGCTTATGCTGAAACTTGTCAGGAAGGTCTTTATGTCTTGGAAATACTCAATTTTGACACTACACTTGGACCAGCAACAGTATTCATTAGGTGACTTCTCCTCAATTGTATCAGCCAACTGACTCTCTTCGCATAATTCTTCAATTGTACATATCCCAAATATAACAAGTGCATCATAAAACTCTACAAATTTCCCAGAAACACCCAAATATTAATTAAATGTTGAAAAAATGCAAAGTTTACAATAAATTGGGGTAGGAAAATTCCATTATTCCAAGTAATGGATCTGCTAAAAGGAGGTAAAATTACATTGGTTTGGCAGGACCTGGAAAAAAATCCATTAAAATGAGATTCTACTGTATAATTTACTTTACTTACAATAATATATGAAACTTATTAAAGAATTCTTTTATAATTGCTGGGTGACCTTAACAATTTTATTTTATTTCACAGTATTTACTTGAATCTAAGATGCACTTTAATTTCTATATGCTCACCCATAATTTATTTATTTATTTATTTATTTTTTGAAAAACTCACAACTTGAGACAAATTTGTCAAGCAGACTGAGTCTGTTGACAAATTTGTTCAGTGTTTATTGCAGTTATACGTCACTGTCTTCTATGGTATTGAAGTCAGAAACCTCTTCACTTTCCATGTTAGGCTCTTCTGAATTGACACTAGATTCAATATTCATATCTTCCCATAAGAAACCATCTTAAGTGCCATTTGATTTTTTGAGAGTGCTGAACAACCTTTTCTGAGATTTTCATCCAAGCACTTACATTATTATAATAGACTAACATGATTAAGCTAAGTTGACCTCTTAAATATTTACTGCTATGAATATTAGTCTAATAAAATCATTAAAATGATGCAATGGAATTAGTGACAGAAATAAGATGTATGGCACTAAAGATTGCTTATTATGATACATTACATCAAATCTAAGATGCATTGTACTTTCAGAAAAACTAAAACCTGAAAAAAATCCATTTTACATTCAAATAAATACAGTGTATATATTTTTTCTAAAGAACAAAATATTCACTAATTTTACTTATTGTGTAGTATAGTAAAACAACACATATTAAAAATAATCAAATTTTAATGGTATTCTGTGCTCTGTTCATAGTAAAGAATCTTAAGATGTTGCTGTTCATGACTAATAAGAAAACCGGTGTCAAAAAAACAAATTTTTATCTTTAAGAATCTAATCTGAAAACACAATTAGACAGAAAACTTTTTAATAAATACTTTACCATTGGAGAGATTTATTCAAGAAGATCACATGTTAATTTCTTCATTTACTCCAAATGCATGTACTGTACATCTTTATTAAAAATTCTTTATTTTTTAAAATAATAATTTGATATCTTGGTGTTACTATTCACTGCTCTATCATATAAAAGTCTATTCATTTTTCTACAAATTTTTATTGTTGTTGTTTCTAAATTTATATTGTATCTTGAAATCTGATGTCCCAATTACTATATCTTGGCTAGTATACATTCAAAAATTCAAAACTCTATTAATAATGTTTTCTGTTGTGAAGTTTACTATGTAACATTCAATGAAGATTATCTTATATTGTTCTCACATCCATTTGTGATTCAAAATGATTCAATATCCTTCAGAATGCAAAGAGCTCAAAACATGACAGACACTGACAAAACTATTATGTTTCTTAGCAAATAACTTTAAGCAATTAATTATAAAGAAAAAGTTTTAGCTTACTAATTACTAAAATACATCAATAATTTTCATTTAATTTCCCAAAAAACTCTCATTTAAATAAAAAATAATTTGATAACTCTATCTTAAATATATCAATTAATTAAATTAATAAATTCTAAATATTTTTAATAAAATAAAATCAATCAAAAAATTATGGTAATATCAGATCATTTTTATGTAAGCTTTTAGAATCAGTAAATAAGTAAAAATTTTGTCAAAAATAATAAAGTTTAACAAAGTAATAGTTTCTGATAATATAGTCAATCTAATTATCTGTTAGATTGCATTCTAATATTAATAATTTAATAAAGCACAATTGACAAGCTAAAAATATTTTATTAAACTTCATAAATTTTGGAAAGATTATTTTCTTCATATAATAAAATACTTCTTTCAAACAATTACATAATATCACAATGATTAATGTAGAGAAAAAAGGATATGTATTAAATGGAATAAAATGTAAAAGGTTTTTTTTCTGTAATTTTTATCAATTAATTTTCTAAAATAAAATAAAATAAAATGGAATAGTTAAATACTTTTTCTGCTTCATTTTAAACTATATTCAATTGACAACTTGTACTGAATCTTTTAAGAATAGTATAAAGTGAACTTGATACAGTTTAAACAATTATTGAAATTTTTTGAAAAATTTTATTTCATTGTTAATTAAGGGAGAAGATAATTTTAATATCTAAGTGCTCCTTAAATTTAAAGTTTTATAATAGCATTTCTTTCTTATAATCTTTACTATTAAAAATCAATTATTATTTATTACTATTACTATTAGCTATCTTTTATTATAATAATATACTAATGTATTTAAAATAAACAGTAAATTAATAATCAAGACAATTTTTAAAATATGAAAACACACATGATCATATTTAATAAAAAAGAATTAAATTTATAAAGATGTAAAAAGAATTTTATGAATAAAACAAAATTCCTTAGTACCATAATTTAAATTTTGATGATATATTTTGTATGAGAATCCATAGTTTTTTTATACAGATTTAATTTTCAGATAATTCTTTATTATAGACATATTTGTTTTATTAATTGCTTTTTTAAGATTTTTCTAATGACAGTTTTTATTATTATTTTTTAAAGAAAAAATTGTTATATTAACATTATTCTAACTTTTTAAACACTTTTTTTACCATAATTTATTTGTAGAAAGTGTTATTTGTAGTCATTTGTTTTTATTTGTTGCTTTTAAATGTTTCTATAATTGCATGTAATTTGTCTTGTGATATATGTGATTTTCCTATATATCTTTCATTTCTTCATTCTTCAGCAAAGGAAAAGATGAAGCAGATGAGAAATCAAGAACAGAAGTGGATAATCCAGCATTTGAGTAAGAATAATCATCAATGTTTCAAACAAATCAACCTAATATATATATTTTTTTTAACTTTTTTACAGGAAAATCCAATGAATTTATTATTCTGTATATCTGGCTTATTGCAGTAATGCATATTAAATTAAACAAATATATTTATTATAAAAGAATTTTAGTTTCCTATTTCAGTTTATTCCTATATGATATTAACTATTAATATTCAATATAAGCAATAATTTCTCTTATATAATATAATTTAGCAAATTTCTTAACTAATATGATAACTAAATAAATTTATTATTATTATTATTAAAAATAAATGTTTAATTATTTTACTCTTTTTTTTTTTACAAATAAAATTCAAAAACTTGGTTACTTGATTTAAAAATGTTTGAATTTAAATTAAAATTTAGAATAGAACTAAAAGTTTAAAATACTTCATGAAGATCTATTGTTTATGAAAATGCCTTTAAACAGAACAGAAATTGTTTTAATCTATTAATGAAGATGTTTTATGTAATAATAATGTATTTGAGGAACTGGGGGTAGATAAGAATAATCTCTCTACTGCTTATTTGGCTATGGATCTGGAAGATCTGCCCGCAGGGTCATAGGATGAAGATTATATTAAAATTAAGGTAGACTACAAAATTGTAGAATCTCGATCTATGGTCAAGATTTCCGACACCAGACAGGGAAAGATTTTGCACCCTATTACGTGTTTACAATATCAGTTTAAATAGGAGGGCTGTTATGTTGATGAGTGGGGAGGAGTCGCGGGTAAGTTCGAACATAGCAGGGTGAATGTCTGGAGTCAATTAATTGAGAGAGAGTCACCAAATGTAACTAATAACAAAGATTTCCTAAATAAACTAAATCAATGAGATACATATTCAAATTACAGATATAACTGAACATAATTGAGTCTAACTAGAGTTACACTTCTAAATTGAGAGTATACTATTAAACTGAGAAGGAGAGCGTACATCAATTTAAACTTACTAACTTGACTGACAGTCTAGAAGGTAGTCTTCTTCTTCTATATGATGAAATTCCTTGGTGAAGCTCTTAGATGGAGGAGGGATGAGGAAATGCACAAGTGAGAATCTGCGAGAGAACGCTACTCATATGGCAGATCCTTGAGGATCATTGATTGGCTTCCTATGGCTATGTCCTTATACGACAAACTGCTGTTTTCTATGTGGCATATTCAGACTAATGTCGACTGCATCTCCTATGGCAATGTCATATTTCTGTTGACTGCTTTGAATGGCAGGAAAATCATCCTTTTTATCGTCCTTTATGTCCAATAGCATAAAAGAATCCACGGTTACTAATGGGATGTATGGAGACGAGGAGAGGGGGTGGACTGCCAGATGGATGTCAGATTTGTAGATAAGGTCTTGTGGGAAAGGAAGTTGATTTCCGACACTTTTGTAAAAAGTGTCAAATGTATCTTCCTTTTTGGTAAACAAATTCAAAAAAACTAAATATACAGTGGAACTCTGGTTAACAAACGTAATCCATTCCACGAGTCCATTCGTTAACCGAATTGTTCATTAACCGAAGCAATTTTCCTCATAGAAATTAATGCAAATACAATTAATCCGTTCTAGCCGTCAGTATTTTTGTAATTTTATTTGTAAAATGGGTTTTCTTTAATGAAAATATAGGAAAACGTGCTCATAAACAGTCGATCTAGGTTAAATTTTCGGAAAAGGGGAAAGATTTGACGGGTATAAAAACATCACATACGATCGTTAAAGTTCTAAAATGACAGATAGCAGAAACAATAGGCTAAATTATGAGCGAAAGGCTTATAGGTTTATCAACAATCTCCGATCAGAGTCGACGAACAGGTGTCAAATAAACGCCTCGGAACAAACCTTTCTCGTGACCTGATCTGGTTTCGGTTTTCACCTGGAGACAAAGAAGAAAACAATCGGGAAGCGAGGAATGGGACGCAGGACAAATCGTAAGGTGAGATTCAAGGAAGAAATACTATAAAAACCCCGAATATCAAGGTCAAAACGCAGTTTTCCTAAAAATTCTATGGCGATTAATCTGTGTCGTCTTCGTCTGGATTAAGCCTGAAGTCGTTCCCGCTAAAATTTGTGTTGTGTCTCGTGGATCGCTCCAGTCGTTGCAGCTCTGTCACCTACTGTTGTTTCTGTGACCAAGCGAACCCATCCTGTCTGCTCTGGGGCTATGACTGATCAGCTTGCACTATCGTAGGACCAGCGATACACTGCTCCTCAGTGCCAGGAGAAAATACTGTAGATAAGCCATTTCCAACCACCTCAAATATGTAAGCATCTTCCTGTTCTAATAAACAATTTTCACTGTAAAATATTTGTCATCTTTGTCTTCTCCGCCATACCAACGTATGAATGGACCCTAGACCATCACCGACACACAATTAACTGATTCCCCCTAAAAGTCGGCAAGCTTACAAATTTGACACAAAAAGCCATTAAGTTTGTTATCCGAGACAAAATTTTTGCAAAATAAAAGTTTGTTAACCGATTTGGCAGTTAACCAGGACATTCGTTAACCGGGGTTCCACTGTATTTCCCAATTCTCACATGTACTGTACAATGCTGAACAGAGGCATGACAGATTTTGTGTTTTTCCAGAAGGTATATAATTTATATATACAGTTATAATACAAATCACTAAGGGAACAGTAATTAGTTTACTTTGTCAAAAATTTGCATTAACAATTTTTAAGGTCAAGATTATGTAATTTAGGGAATCAAATGGGCTTGATAGGCAAAGTCTCTAAATTATAATATTTTGATTAAAGTTAAATAAAATTAAATTTATTTACACAAATAAATTTAGTAAATTATGTTCTAAATGATTTTCAAATCAAACAAAATGAGGAAGAGAAGATATTTGCCATTTAAGTGTGGAGCAGTACATCAGAGTGATTAAATTAAACAGCTTTGTTTTATTTAACCACTGCAAAAATTTAATTTTTTTTTTTCTGTTGAAGATTGTTTGAAAAAATAGAAAAAATTTTTGGTGCAAAAGAGTGAAAAAAAAAGAGCCAAACCTAGCATCACTGTCTGTATTCATTCTCCAATATGAAAACTACTTTGTTTGCTTAGGACTGTATCTGTTTAAAGGGGTGGGTATCCTTAAATATTAACCCCTGTTTTCTGAGTACAATAGAATGATCACTAAAACCAGATGTTTAAATTGCTGTACAGTTGGAGGAAACTTGTCTTTGCTTACTAGGAGAGAAAATCTATTCTACTCAAAATGGAACATTCTACAGTACTATTTTTTATTGTTCATGTTGAAAAGTGTAAAAAGCACCATTATTGGAAATAGGATTATTTCTTGAGGGGTTGTGAAGGTAATTTACAGTTAAATTTAACAAATTATAGTAAAATTTTTGTTCATTTTATCCTGTGAAATTTAACTTTGTGACAATGGCAAAATTTGCTTTATCAGTGTTTGTTTTAAGGTGAGGAAACTATATATATAAATATATATTTGTATATGTTTTAACAGAATGCTCTGATGATAAATAAAAGCTGATTATTTTATCATTTTTAATAATGAGTATAAATGTAACATTTGAATTTTTATAGTAAATAATTTTTAAAAAATTATTAAACTTTTAGCAAAATTCATAGTACTCTTTTATTTATTTATTTTGGATCATTTATTTACCCAGAGCTTATGTCTTTCTCTGCTCCTTTGCTATGCCCCTTACAAACAAAAATGCTGTACATGATTATATGAAATTTCTTACACATAAATATCTAGTTTGATTGTAAAAACATTTTCATATACTTGAGAAGAATTTTGAAACATTATAAAAGTTTAAACACTTGTTTAATTAAACTTATAGTAAAACTTAAAACACTAAAATTAAATCAATATATAAATCTACATACAAATAATACCTCAACTTACGCTACCCTGACTTACGCAAACCCGAAGTTACGCGATTTTCAAATCTCATCGATTCGTCTTTTGTTTGAGTGCCATGCAACTCTTGATTACTCACTCCCCCCATACTATTGTTTAGCTTATATGTTTGGACGTGTCACGCAGAATCGACACATAAATAACATAAAAAAAATTGTAGCTATTTCTGTATTTGTTATATTTACAGAGACTTGAGAGACTCTATGTGGTAATTTCTTGTAACCGTGAATGAATCAAAAGATGAGATAAGATTAACGAGAACATTTATTAGCTTACATTTATTAGCTTACATACATCCGACATCGATTTTACACAAATTACGAAATTATACCACGACTTACGCAGTTATCGCTTGGTCCCACCTATCGCGTAAGTTCAGGGTATTACTGTATACATATACATAACTTTCAAAAATAAAACAATTTATTTTACTTGACATTTTCAGGCTGTGATTGTGAATGCAAGAGTGTTTGAAAATGTTAAGTAAAATACATCTTGTTTCTGGAAAAAGTACTTATATACATTGTTTGTATATAGATAAAGAACATTAGATAATTTTAATATATATTCACTATTCTTTATAGTGCTTTATTATATATTCTTGCAAAATTGGATTTCTTTTTCTCCATGATAAAGTTTACTTCATTTATGTAAATCTGTGTACAGCACCTTTTTACTATAATCTTTTCCAATCTAATCCATATTTCTTTTTTTAAACTATAAAGAATAATTATTCATTATAATTTATGAAGTTTTATTGAAATTTCTTGCTCATAAATAATGATGTAAAAAATTTTTATAAATAGATATTTTAATAATTTTGATAGCTATATTAAAAGGAAATATATATTTAAGTAAATATAATATTTACTTAAATGTTTGCATGTTTAAATGTGATATCATTGTATAATTATTTAATTTTTTCTTCATTCTATAAATTATTTACTTCTTTTTCCATTCAAAACCATGTCTTTTTGTAATAATTAATCTTATATACACATATATAAAAACATCTCAAAGCTTGATGATTATATTAAAGCCAAATGCTTACCAGATTAAATCAGGCTACATTACTGTTACTAATAAATATTAAATTCCAAGTAATTTCACACTAGAGGTAGGCAAGGTGCTATCTCTTATTAAATCTAATATTAACAATATNAGCTTACATACATCCGACATCGATTTTACACAAATTACGAAATTATACCACGACTTACGCAGTTATCGCTTGGTCTCACCTATCGCGTAAGTTCAGGGTATTACTGTATACATATACATAACTTTGAAAAATAAAACAATTTATTTTACTTGACATTTTCAGGCTGTGATTGTGAATGCAAGAGTGTTTGAAAATGTTAAGTAAAATACATCTTGTTTCTGGAAAAAGTACTTATATACATTGTTTGTATATAGATAAAGAACATTAGATAATTTTAATATATATTCACTATTCTTTATAGTGCTTTATTATATATTCTTGCAAAATTGGATTTCTTTTTCTCCATGATAAAGTTTACTTCATTTATGTAAATCTGTGTACAGCACCTTTTTACTATAATCTTTTCCAATCTAATCCATATTTCTTTTTTTAAACTATAAAGAATAATTATTCATTATAATTTATGAAGTTTTATTGAAATTTCTTGCTCATAAATAATGATGTAAAAAATTTTTATAAATAGATATTTTAATAATTTTGATAGCTATATTAAAAGGAAATATATATTTAAGTAAATATAATATTTACTTAAATGTTTGCATGTTTAAATGTGATATCATTGTATAATTATTTAATTTTTTCTTCATTCTATAAATTATTTACTTCTTTTTCCATTCAAAACCATGTCTTTTTGTAATAATTAATCTTATATACACATATATAAAAACATCTCAAAGCTTGATGATTATATTAAAGCCAAATGCTTACCAGATTAAATCAGGCTACATTACTGTTACTAATAAATATTAAATTCCAAGTAATTTCACACTAGAGGTAGGCAAGGTGCCATCTCGTATTAAATCTAATATTAACAATATTTGTGACATAATTCTTAAGAGACGTTCCTTGTGGAGTGTCTAATATTCTGAAATACTATATTTCCATAATTTACTTGAAGCTTCTTGTCCTTTAAACATTGTGTTTCTAAATCATATAGTACATTAATAATTCAAGGACTTATCATACAGGTAAGTCCTTGAATTATCAATGCACTTTATGATTTAGAAACACTATATCTAGATATAATAAATATAAGTACGACTGTTTTTCAAAAAAAATTTTTGTTATATTACTATATCTAGATTTTATGGACCTAAATATAATGGATTTTGGAAACAATAACCAAATTTGCTCATTAAAATAAAGGGTCAGTAGTATATTCAAAAATAAACTTGCATATTCTATAAATTTCATTCCAAATAATATGCACTCACAAACTACAGAAATGTCATTATATATATGAATGAATATTCAAACTTTAAATAATTATTATTCTGTGCTATTTCTGCTTATTGAAGTTTATATTAGAAAACATAAATACAGTATAAATAATAGGATTTATAGCATTAGTTTTACTGCTCTTCATTTTCTGACATCAATTAAGCATTCCTTTTATGTAATTAGTTTATACTATCGAGAATTATAACTGGACAAATCATATTTTAGAACATTAAACCCACATCAAGGAATTAAAAAATCGTTCACACAAAAATGTTACCAGAACATATTACATTACATTACATCATTCCTTCATTATAAGTTTAAGTACAGTACAAGTAACATTTCTATCATTTACATTAACTATTATAAAATCATAATAATGATACATATATTCATAAAAACATCAAAAACTAAATAAATTAATTATTTAGACTAATATTTATGATGCATGATAGTTTTTTTTGCAAGAAATATTGTTTTTTGCATGAAAGCTGCATCTCATAAATGTATGCATGCCCTCTTTTTAATTCAAAAAGTGGTTTTATTAAAATTTATATATTAATTAATTTATTAAAAATATCAATGTTTACACTAACTTGATTAAAATTTGATATTTTTAATAAATTAATTAATAAATAACGTTTACACCAACTTAATTAAAATTTCTGAAAATTAATTTTTAAAAGATAAAACTGTATGAGTTAAGAGAAGTACTTATTTCAGGATACCAAAGCAAATATTTTATTAGAAATGTTTTCATTCATACATGTTAAGGAGCATATTGAATCTATTAGAAGGAATTTCCCAGTGGGCATTATGTAAAGATATACAAGATGATTGGAAAAAGTCCTGGTCATTAGGCAATAGTTGGATATCTCCATCTGGTTGATAGAATAATTTTATATACACTTCATATCCCAATCCTATGACATTATAAGTATACACTTAAAAATCATAAAATAAATAAGTTCTTTATTAGCAAAAATTACAAAAAATAAATCCACATAATTTTTCCAAAATTTTTCACTTAAATGATATGTGGTCCATATTTAGAATGCTCCTAGTTCAAATTAATTTTTAGTTTATTATAAAATATAAATTATACTGAATCATATATATGTGTGTCCGCATGGTATTTTAATTTGAATTTATATTATTTAATACTGTTTTTAGTTTTAATCAATTATATTTTTGTATTATTTTAGAATTATTATTAATATACTAACTCCTCCTCCTTGCCACAAATTTCATGAAATTTATTTATTTATGCCCATTTATTATCATATTCATTGATTTACATGAAATTTAATAATAATTACGTTAATTTGATGAAATTCCTTAAATGCTGAATACAATTTTAAAAAATTCTAACTACCAGCAAAATTATTTTCACAATTTTTGCTTAATTTTATTAATATTTCTTGATTTTTATTTTAATTTAAAATTATTCAGTTTATATATTATTTAAATGAAATTCTTGAGAAACATTGTGCTGGTATATAGAACTAAAATGTTTTTGAGGATACTGTTTGAGAAAACTTTAGTTACGTTTAAGTTGATGACAACCATTTGCTATTAATTTTTATTTTTTAGCAAAGAAAAAGAACCATTACAAATGCACAAAGGAGAAGACAGAAGCGATAAAGTTTACGCAGTTAATGAAGATACTCCTATGATCGAAACAGTAGGGTGAGCACTAATAAACTTGTTTATGTTTAAATTCAAGCACCCTGCTGAAGAACAGATGAATCTATTCTCATCTTTCTTTTGTTTTCAATGCAGAACAAATATTTTCTCTATGAATACATTCACATTCTTCTGTGACTTATATTTGTTACATTTCTTATGTATATTATATAATGTTATGTTAATCTGATAATGGTAAAATATATTAATAATTATGCTTTATTTTCTTTAAACAACATACTGTGGCTTTCTTTTGGGAATTGTATCATGCATGCATTCTTTTTGTTAAGGAAATGGCTCAAAGATTGACTTCAAAATCTTAACTTCTTGTCTTGTATTCCATTTCAGTAATGGTTTCTTCAGCACAACTGCTATCAGCCAGATAAACAGAAATGACTATACATACATAAAACTAATAAAAAATTATTATATTTATAAAGTATTTCTCATATATACTAAAGGTAAAAATCTTCAAATTCTAATTATTTTAATGTAATGTTTTCCTTATTCAGTGCAAAGGACACTAAAACTGAAACAAACAGCGTGGATGCTGAAATAAAGAATAAATCACCAAAAGGATCTAAGTCAAGTATTGCCAAAGACAGCTTGGTTTAACATCTTGTAAGATAAAAGTGAAGCCAACATTTTATAAAACTATACTCCTGTTAACAAATTAAGATATCTGGGTCATCATTTCAAGCAATGAATGAAGTGCAAGAAAAATAAACATTGAATCTTTTTCTCTCTAAATTTTGGTCAACATATAGCAGCATATAAATGTTTGACCAAGGCAGAATCGGTTCAGTGTTTTGTGACCCAATCATTAATGTAATTTTGATTGTGATGATGTGGGATGTGATTCAAATGGACTCCATGATTCCCTACTGCTGGCTTTATGAAATAGCATGATATCAACAAGAGTGTACTGAACCAAGTAATTGGTGCTATCGCAAAGCTTATTAATTAGTTATATACATTGTATAAGCCTTTTTTAGGGATAATCAGGAGTGAATGTGTGTGATTTATGCAGAAAAGTTCCATATGAATGTTGGCTTCTAGCTTTAAGAAAATCATAGTCCAAGGACTCTGCCTCAGGGTCTCGTGCTCTAAGGAGTCAGTGCATCATTCCCCTAAAATTGTCATACGATTCTGAATTTTCAGAACAATTTTATTTCATTACCGCTTTACTTTTGTAGACATCTTTAGTGTGATCTATATTAATATTGATAAATTTTTCACTTGATACCTGTTGTATGTATTTTCAAATCATTCCAAATTTATGTTAAAATTATTTTTCAGAAATTAATTTCATGGTTGTTCATATTATTTCACCATTCATTAATGAAGGAATATTTATTGATTAATTTTTATTCCTTTCATTTATTGGCTGGTAACTTAAAATTCTTAAGTGTTTTCTTGGTGCTTTTGAAAATTGCTTATTAATAACTTATATGTACGGTACTTTGTATGGATAAAAACCATTGTATTTTAGTTGTTAAAGATAAGATTGCCAGTTAAAGTTAATCTTGATTTTGATTAAAAACCATCTGGAATTGTTACAGTTACATTCTCTGTAGGTACTGAAACAGTTTGAGATAAAAAAAAAAAAATTGTAAAGAAAAATTTTGCACCTGCAATGCTCACAGAGAAAGAAGAGAACTGTAAGAATACCTACAAATTAATTTGTTGATCACAATTTGATGTTCTGCAGGATCCTGACATGTATTATTGTACTGATTATAGACTAAGAGTTCTTTATTTGCAAAGAAATTTTCATATCTTTTCAGTACAGAAAATTTGGGTAATTTGTATTCCTGCAGCCAACAGAGCAGCTATTTTGAATTTCACTGTTATTTCAGTGAGCAAAAAGGGTGTCCACATGTTGGATTTGCTTAAACTGCTGTCTTCTTACAAAATGTGATGTTGTGTGCATGAACCAGAATAAATTCTTGTTCATGAATGTTATCTGGACTATTGCATCAATCCTACAAATAAATATTTCATGCCCATCAAATAAAAGAAAAATTAATTTATCATCTCTTATACATGTTGTATTTGTGAATAATTAGTAATTTCGTCCGTCAGATATTTTAATTTACAATATTCACAATGATCACAAGTATAAATAGACAATGACAACCTTAAGACTGTGGCACTTGAAATTCAAATATATTGCAAATCATTATAGATTGTTGCTTGTTATGTCAAAAAAAATATATATAGTATGTATAATACAAATGAATTGTCACAAAAAAAAAAAAAAAAAAACAAGTTTTCATTTGAAATTTTTCCAATTACTGTTAATAAATTATCACAAAATGGACAATAAACTGTTGAAAATTTGATAATTTCATAAAAACACAAGAAAAGTTAAGGTATTATTGTTATTTAGGATAGTTTAGTATAACATTACTTTTATGTTGAATTCAAAGTATTATTTTCTTATAAGAGAAGTAAACATATCTCGTTAAATTTAATATATCATAATTAAATTTTTTAAATATGGAAAATACATTGAAATTTGATAAGAAAAATTATCATATTAGACAGTTTTTTGATGGAAATTTTATTATAATAATAAATTTTGAATGTTCAAATACAAAGAATTTTTTTTACTGATGTAGAGAATATTATAACATAAAATTTTTAACATTTAAATCATTTTCTAAAATACAGATTTATCATCTGTTCTGCTGTAATAGGAAACATTTATAATGCCAGACAGTCAACAAGGCAAGAATGTCATGTTGCTGCTGTAACAACCATACTTACCAACAACATTTTAATCCAAGATTTCAAGCTGATAACTTTACATTAAGAGTTACTTTTCATATCTATCAACTCAATTTAACACTGTATTACAAAGTTCTCACTTCAGTTCAAGGATTATGTTACAAGCACTCCAATTTGTCAGAGTGCTTCATGATGCTTCTGCCAAATCCATGTATAAACTAAATACATGATTTCAAAGTTTAGTAGACAATAGATTGAATTCCAACAGTGAAAGCAGCTATGCTAACTTCAAGAAAGTATTATTAGAATCATTGATAGTTATAAAATATAAAAATATATTAGAAAAATACAAAACATGCAGTAACAAATAAACAAATTTAGAGACAGAATGTAACAGTTACCAGGCAATTATAATATCACAAAATAGTAAGCAATCATTATTTTGTTCAAAAACTTAAGAAATAATTAAAGCAAATAAAGATCAAGTGGAAAACACGATAAAATTTCAATTTTTTTTTTAAAGCTGGAAATCCTGTGATGATATATTCATTTATATAAATCAATTTCTTATTCATCACCCTTAGCATCTTTTCTTAATTTTAAGCTCTCACAAATTGGACATATTCAATATTATGATATTTTCAAGTTGTGTTACAAAGAATCCACAAATAAATTAAAGATTAACATATGTACTAAGAATTAACTCACTGATAGTAACAACTTAAATCAAAATTCAGATTTAAGGGTTTATTCTAGAATTATTGTATGGAGAATACCAATTTTTAACTTTACTATATATTTAACTTGAAGTTGTGAATATGGCCATAAAAGATCTTTCAAAATTCTCTACAGGTGGTTTGAAACAAGTACATTAGGTCTATCTATACCTATTCCATTGTAGGTGTACAGTACATAAATTGTAATATGAATGAATATGAATATGAAAATAGTTTGAAAATCATTTACTACTTATATATTCTATATTTATAAACAAATAGAAACAATACAATATTTTTTAGATTAATTAAAGAGATTTAATGATTCTTAAATTTTCATTTTGCAGAAAATCGGGATAATCAGGAGTGAATGTGTGTGTGTGATTTATGCAGAAAAGTTCCATATGAATGTTGGCTTCTAGCTTTAAGAAAATCATAGTCCAAGGACTCTGCCTCAGGGTCTCGTGCTCTAAGGAGTCAGTGCATCATTCCCCTAAAATTGTCATACGATTCTGAATTTTCAGAACAATTTTATTTCATTACCGCTTTACTTTTGTAGACATCTTTAGTGTGATCTATATTAATATTGATAAATTTTTCACTTGATACCTGTTGTATGTATTTTCAAATCATTCCAAATTTATGTTAAAATTATTTTTCAGAAATTAATTTCATGGTTGTTCATATTATTTCACCATTCATTAATGAAGGAATATTTATTGATTAATTTTTATTCCTTTCATTTATTGGCTGGTAACTTAAAATTCTTAAGTGTTTTCTTGGTGCTTTTGAAAATTGCTTATTAATAACTTATATGTACGGTACTTTGTATGGATAAAAACCATTGTATTTTAGTTGTTAAAGATAAGATTGCCAGTTAAAGTTAATCTTGATTTTGATTAAAAACCATCTGGAATTGTTACAGTTACATTCTCTGTAGGTACTGAAACAGTTTGAGATAAAAAAAAAAATTGTAAAGAAAAATTTTGCACCTGCAATGCTCACAGAGAAAGAAGAGAACTGTAAGAATACCTACAAATTAATTTGTTGATCACAATTTGATGTTCTGCAGGATCCTGACATGTATTATTGTACTGATTATAGACTAAGAGTTCTTTATTTGCAAAGAAATTTTCATATCTTTTCAGTACAGAAAATTTGGGTAATTTGTATTCCTGCAGCCAACAGAGCAGCTATTTTGAATTTCACTGTTATTTCAGTGAGCAAAAAGGGTGTCCACATGTTGGATTTGCTTAAACTGCTGTCTTCTTACAAAATGTGATGTTGTGTGCATGAACCAGAATAAATTCTTGTTCATGAATGTTATCTGGACTATTGCATCAATCCTACAAATAAATATTTCATGCCCATCAAATAAAAGAAAAATTAATTTATCATCTCTTATACATGTTGTATTTGTGAATAATTAGTAATTTCGTCCGTCAGATATTTTAATTTACAATATTCACAATGATCACAAGTATAAATAGACAATGACAACCTTAAGACTGTGGCACTTGAAATTCAAATATATTGCAAATCATTATAGATTGTTGCTTGTTATGTCAAAAAATATATATATAGTATGTATAATACAAATGAATTGTCACAAAAAAAAAAAAAAACAAGTTTTCATTTGAAATTTTTCCAATTACTGTTAATAAATTATCACAAAATGGACAATAAACTGTTGAAAATTTGATAATTTCATAAAAACACAAGAAAAGTTAAGGTATTATTGTTATTTAGGATAGTTTAGTATAACATTACTTTTATGTTGAATTCAAAGTATTATTTTCTTATAAGAGAAGTAAACATATCTCGTTAAATTTAATATATCATAATTAAATTTTTTAAATATGGAAAATACATTGAAATTTGATAAGAAAAATTATCATATTAGACAGTTTTTTGATGGAAATTTTATTATAATAATAAATTTTGAATGTTCAAATACAAAGAATTTTTTTTACTGATGTAGAGAATATTATAACATAAAATTTNAAAAAAAAAAAGAAAGAAATATTAGTTTATCATTAGTGTAAGTTTTGTTATTTTACAATCCCTGCATTACTTCTTTTTAAAACATCATTAATCTTCATTCGTTTAGTAGCACTTTCTTTTCAAATTAAACAATAAACTTTCAATATTCACAATGTTTGCTTGATCTCTTTTGAAGATGTTCTGAGCAAACAAAAATGCTCTTAGATTCAAGTGCACAAAATGCTTCAATGAAACTCCAGGGGTCGCTCTGAAGATTTTAAAATATTGCTACCATTTCACTAGTTTTTAATTTTTTGCCACCAGTTTTACTAACTAATTAATGCAGGTGCTGGTAGCCCCATGTTAAACTGTTTTACTTACAAAGAGAGAGCTAGATGTTTGGGTGTTCAATTCACATGAAACTTGGTGAGAATATAGCCTTAAAAACACAAACAGCTCCTTGTCCAAGTAATAGGACCTACTATTCAAGCATTTTCAAAAATGGGCCTCTAAAAATTTAGTGTTAGCTTTTAAGTCTTTGGAAGTTTCACATCCCAGAGCAGCAATAGCCAAATGAATAAGATGCTAGGTACTGGAGCTAGATGATGTGCAGTAAAATAATAAAGTTACACATAAAAAACTAAATTAAACTAAAACTCAAAGGTTCAAACTTATATCATGTAGCTCCAGTACTTAGTGTCTTATTCTCATGGCTATCGCTGCTGCAGAATTTTATTTTGATTTTTTCTGAGTCTTCAACTCTAGTTCCATCTCTGATGATGACACACACTGAATTATTGTAATTTTTATTATAAAAAAATACATATATAAGACAATTAAATGATACGTTCATTAAAACCAAAGTGGCATTTATTGAAATCTTTTGATATATATATATAATTTCATTTCTAATATATGATGATAATCCAAAGAATACTATATACAAGATATAAGAAGTTATACCAGTGCACAATATGAAGTAAAACCAATTTTAATAACTCTATATGTCTATATTTTATTCAGAGAACCCTGTAGATATAATTCTGACATATTCTTGCTCATTCACAAAAGACCAAAAAGAAAGAAAAACTTTTTCAAATTCAATAATATGAATATTAAAAATGTATACATGTTATGAATAGTACAGTACATCTGAAATAAAACAAAAGGTATCAAACAAGCTTTTGAATATGTATTAAAATATAGTAAGAACATACTAATTTGTAATGACTTTGGAACTCACCCATACTGTATGTTAAGTGAGATAAGTACACCCATGTCTAAAAATTAAGCAACGAAGTGAAAAAAGAAGATAAAAAGAAAAATATTTATTCCAAATCAATGAAAGTTCACAGCATATGGATATAACAAAAGACACTAGCATAGGAAAATGCAAAGAAAATCATCAATAAATAATAAAGGTAAACAAAAATATATGATTTTGGGTGGCAAAAAATTTCATTGGTGGCAGTCTGTCAATATGGAATGTGCATCTTTGTTGGAAACAGATATTCTTGGCATGAATCAATGCTGTAGGGCATGCCCTACAGCATTGATTCATGCCAAGAATAAGAACATCTATGGCGGTTTTGGATATATGTGCCCATTCAT